CGTTTGGTTTTAATTGGAAACTGTCTCTTTAAATTTCGAGGAGATCTGTGCGCATGTGTAGTAGAACCCTCCGAGGGTGGGGCTGTGGTGCCCACTAGCTCAGGCACCCCTTTAGTCACCAGAATGGAGGTGCGCAGACAGTGAGGGACCAATGAACAGCTACCAAAAGAGAAGAATGTCCACACCTTTATCTCTGAGGTTCTGCCAGGCGTCTGTGGCCGCTCGGATCTTTCCCCCACGTGGTCTCACCCAAGATGGCGGCTCCTGGAGTAGCTGAGCGTCCCGGACTAGAAAGCAATAGGTTTCTTGCTTCTGCCACAAATTCCCTCAGCTGTAAGCTTTCCAACCTTCTAAATATTCCTTTATATGTGGTTCAGAGTTCTGAGACCATCCCCTGAGCCAGCTTGTTCGGCTATTCTGTGTTGTTGTTGGCGGAGCTCTCTGCTATACGTCCACCCAATCCGCCATCTTGTTTGTTCTCCTATCCACAACTTTTTGAAACACCCTCCTGTGGTAGTATTAAGAAACCTTCTCAAACAGAAATTATGTAGAACTTCACTATTTCAATGTCTAAATTTAAACGGTTTATTGAGAAAGGATAAGTGCTGATAGAGGTTCTAGAATTCGTATAGTTAATGTAGAGAAATGAATCCCTCTGAATATGAAAAAATTAAATACACAATCCCACACTTCATCCCTCGGAGTCCCTGAGTGATGCAAATGATTAAGTGCTCAGTTACTGACAGTTTGACTGTTTGAATCCACCCAAAGGAAAGATTGGGCAATCGTATTCATGCTTCACAACCACGAAAACCCTGTAGCTCACAGTCTTAATCTACAACACACAAGGTCAGCATGTGTTGAAATTGCCTGGATTGCAATAGGTATTTATTTTTCAGTCTAGTAATAGATTTGAAATCACACTACCATATGGTGTTTTATAACTGAGGAGCTTAATGCATAAGTGATGTGTTTGTTTATTACCTGTTCATACTTTAAGGTTTATGATTTTGTAAAACTGGGAAATTGGAAGTTTTATTTAATTAATGAAGTTATCCAGTATGCCTCATAGTTATTTAAATGAAACTCGGTTTCTTGCAGCAAGGATTATAAAAAATTCTGAATGAATTTTATCTTGTCAAAACAATAATAATAATGTCATTTCTTCTTCCTCTTTTAGAGTGTGGCGGAATAATGACTGGTGCTTATGGTTCAATTACATCTCCGGGATATCCCGGAAACTATCCCTCTGGAAGAGATTGTGTATGGAAAATTATGAGCAGTCCTGGCCTCCTGATAACGTTTACTTTTGGAACCTTGAGCCTGGAGAACCATGATGATTGCAGCAAAGATTATCTTGAGGTAGTCAATTGTATTTAGATAAAACACAACCATCAGAGGGCTGTGGTTTGGTGGTGCCGAAGGAGTTCTGGTAGCATACTAGTTATGAATCAGAATGTGAACCACAAAGTCAGCAGTTTGAAACTACCAGCTGTGTCGCGGGAGAAAGATGAGGCTTTTTGCACCCATAAAGATTTACAGCCTTGGAACCCTGTGCAGGGTCACTATAAGAATCGATTCCATGGCACATAACAACAACAACATAGCTCTGGTAGCATAGTGGTTACGAATTGGGCTGCTAACCTCAGGGTCAGTAGTTTGAAACTACCAGCTGTTCTTCAGGAGAAAGATGAAGCTTTCTGCTCCCGTAATGATTTACAGCCTTGGAAACCCTGTACAGAGTCGCTGTGAATCAGAACCGACTCCATGACACATAACAACAACAACATAGACGATGCAATTTGTTAAAAAGAGTTAGCTAATCTATTTTGTTTTAATGGTAGCACTTGTTAACAATTTATCCATAGTCACAGACTGTTCTTAATTTTGACAGCTTGTTACTTCTTCTGGATTCTTTTTTAATCTGGGAAATAGACTGTCTTATCTCTCCAGATTACTTCTTGGAAGCTTTGTCCGTAACATGGTAATTGCAGAATTAATGAAATGGATACAAATCACTAGCCATCTTCTCCAGTGCAGATTCAAATCTTCAGTTGTCCCTGGTAAACTGACAGAGTGTCACAGGTTGAGCATGATTTTCCATGATGAAAATCAGCTAACGGTGAATGTACCAAAATGGGTTGATAAATGGTGAATCCTGCTGTAACATCGATAATTCTTGAAAAGAGTGTACTAAGCCTGTACTCTTCTCACCTAATATTAGTAAATGATAAAAACTTGGAGGAGGACAAAAGCCTATTATTGTCAAATGCCATCTTCTTATCAGTGCCTCAGAAATGTTGCTTTCCATTTCTAGTTTGAAAATCTCATTGAGAAGATTGTGTTCTTGCATTGTTCCTGTATTCTTTGCCACCATCAGTCTCAGTACGCCTTTCAAGGAGTGATAAAAGCATAATATGCCTTTCAGAGTCCATTAGAGAAGAATGGAGTGCTAGGGAATTATTCATAAAGGATGGAAGGGTGAGGCGGTCAAACATGGGTCTCCGCAAGTTGAAGTCATTAATAATTTAGCAGTTGTAACAATAGATTTGTAACCTTTGGGGATGCCAGGAAAAACTGCCTTTTCCTGAAAAGTTCCAGTAAAATAATCTCTTAAATGTGAATATTAAAGTGCATTTTCTGATCTGGAAATGAATTTTCAACAAAGTCCATCAAATAAAAATTAAAGGCATTCATTCATTCCTACATATTAATTCCAGGATACACATATAATAAAAATCATCAATCACTCTGACAAGGAAATGCAGAGAAACGTTGAACTATGTCTCTCATATTTCAAACTACGATATTTCAAGGAACTTGTTAAGAATAGAAAAGCAGTTTGGGTAGACAAAAATGGCTTGAAATATTGCTTAGTTCATTGACTCCTTGCCATTCTAAGTGACACAGAATTTGCATATACAACAGAATTACAGAGAGAATAGAGAGAAATCAATAATTAAAAAGGAGTTCTAGGATAAAGTCATCATTATTATAATCCTTAATTACTATAAAAGTAATTTTCTCTCCGGGAGTCTCTGGTGGGTTCAAACCACTGACATTTTGGTAGGCAGCCAAATGCTTGATCAGTGTGCCACCACTTCAAGTTTAAAATTTCAAAATAAACACTTAGGGGAAAAAAATCTAGAAAACATTAAGTGAAACCAGTAACACTACCAGAAGAATCCAAAGAACACATGCATCCAGTTCCAGAACTGAAATTCAAAAAGAAGATAAAGCATGAGGGATGATGGGAGAAGGAGATTTTCCTTTACTAAACCCAAACCTGTACTCCTGGTGTGATGCTGTGGTGTCAACATTAGCCGGCTAACTGCCACTCCTTGGAAACCCTATACAGGGTCACTGTGAGTCAGAATTGACTCGACTTAACAACAACTAAACCTAACCTTATCCCAAGAGAGGTGTTAGATAAATACTTGATAATAACTCACTTTTAAATGATGTGTTGTTTTAAGGTTAACAAAGATCTGGTTTGTTGAAATCTGGCCACTTTGAGCTTAATGATACTTTCTTTTGTTTTAGATTCGAGATGGTCCTTTGTTTAAGGATCCTGTTCTTAGAAAATTCTGCACCACTCTTTCTGTCCCACCACTCCAGACTACAGGTCCTTTTGCCAGAATTCATTTCCATTCTGATAGCCAGATTAATGATAAAGGCTTCTACATCACCTATTTAACATCACCTTGTAAGTAACCTGCTAATTGAGAACTAAGTATGAATTTGAAGAACAGTGTTATGCTTATAGCTGTTGTATAGTTTAATTGATCTTGAACTTATTTTCTTAGATTAATGGTATGTCTTTATAAATAATATATCCATAATAGATGTATCACAAAATTAATGAAATACAAGTCTGAGTCACAAATTGTCTGCACTCTAACCGTAGAATTTATTTTAATCAACTTTTAGAAAAGACAAATACATCATTTTTCAATATCATCTCCTTGTTTTTCAATACACTTTGTCCATCTGTCAAACACGCTTTTGTAATCCCTTATTAAAAAATGTTTTAGGCTGAGTCATGAGCCATGAATGCACCGCTGTCTTCAGATCTTCATCAGAGGTGAAACTTTGTCCTTGAAGGGCTGTTTTCAGGGCCCCAAAACAGGTGAAAGTCCAATGGAGCTTGATTGGGACTATGGGGAAGATGCTTTAACACCTCAAAATGAACTTTTTACAAGATCAACAGTGTGGGCAGGGTATGTTGATTTGCATTGTAATGCCCGTGGATAGCAATCCTCTGTGTTTAATCTGAAATTTAGGCTTCAGCTCTTCATTGAGTATCTCACTGTAACAAGCACTATTGATTGCTGAACCATTTTTCTAATAGTGTTTCAATACTGGCCCTTATGAATCCCAGAAAATTGTCAGCATCCATTTTCCAACGGATGGTTGAGTTATGAACTTTTACTTTGTTGGTGATTGATCCATTCCATCCCCTGCCATTTACTCTCAGGCTTCTAGTGGAGAATCCATATCTCACCACCAGTAACAGTTTTATTTAAAGAAAATGTTACTCTCCTTCTAGTATGGTTCCAAATTTTGTTTGTAGATGTCCAAATGCTCCTGCTTATGCTCTTCTATGAGTTGTTTCAAGTGTTTCATCTTGCACAACCTTTTGGAAACCCAAGTCTATCATGGATTATTTTATAGACAGCACCATGGCTGGTTTGCAAATGATTTGCCACATAATCCACTGTTAGTCATCTATTTGATAGAATCATTTCATGTGCATTCTCAATTTTTGTCATCAGTCATGGTAGTGAACATTTTCATGTAACCGAATGTGGATAATTTTTGACTCACCCTAGTAGATTAAGTAATGGTTATCCTCAGTTGTCTGTGGTCAACAAGTTCTTTTCTTTATCTTTCCCATGTTGTTAATCACAGGTGTGATTTATGATAGAGATGTGTTGGTGGTGGTGGTTACGTGTCGTGAAATCGGAGCCGACTCATAGTGACCCTGTACAGGGTTTCCGAGGCTGTAAATCTTTACGGGAGCAGAAAGCCTCATCTTTCTCCCGCAGAACAGCTGGTAGTTTTGAACTGCTAATCTTAAGGTTCACAGTCCGATTCCTAATCACTATGCTGCCAGAGCTCCTTAGAGATGTGTTAAGTACCTAAATTAAATTGTGCACATCATGGGTTTCCTAGCTGCTCTTTCATGTTTTGTTGTGAGAAATGTTTCTGGCATGGCGGAAATGCAGTCTATTTGAGATACTTTATATCTTATTCCTGTATCAAGTCCATCTGCCCAGAACCTATTTTCCAGGATCACACTGACCTGTCATTCAGTTTCCTTTCCAATGAAACCTTATTCGCTAGTGTGCCATCAGCTTGCACTGATGCCCTTTAAAAAGCAAATGAAACTCACTGTGTTTTCGATTTTAGGGCTGTAGAAGATTCTGTTTATGACTTCCATCACTGTGTTCTTGATAACAATTCACAGAAAGCCATTTCTTATGTTTCAGTACCAGAGAAAGTAATAATGAGCATCTTTTCATGGATTCTTTTCATTACTTTGCCTTCAGGCTGAATCCACAGCTGACCTTTTGTAGTTTGTATAGTCCTTGTTGACTGTGCATATCAATTTCCCCCTCACTACATCTTGCTATTTTGTATTTATTTTTCCTTAATCTAGTTATATTTTATTTTGTTTTATTATATATCTTATATAAACTGTCTTAAATCTTTTGGAATGAAGCAGAGCATAAATACATGTAAAAGGCAATCTATAAAAGAGAACCATAGATTGGAAGTTAAGCATACATGTCTACATCGATTTCCCTAGGTACATCATATATATCTCACAAACATGTCGAGCTGAAAATCCTATGACTAGAGGCATAAGCTTGTACAAGGTATATGAATACATGTGTATGTGCGTGTACAGTTTTTAAAATTGAAACCATTGCTGCAAGTCAGAGGAATGGCCACCCTTGTGACCTCTTCTTTCTCCTCCTAGCGGATCTTCCTTGTGGAGGAAGGTATGAGGACCCAGAGGGTGAGCTCCTGTTATCTGACTTGCAAGGACCCTTGACTCACAGCAGTCAGTGCATCTACATAATTGAACAACCTCCTGGAGAACAAATACAAATCAACGTTACCCATGTGGAACTGGGAGGCCAGACTGGCTGTTCTCCAAGTTATGTTGAGGTAACTTTCACTACTCATTTGTTCTTAGATGATGCTTGTTAACATTTTCATATTCTGTAGAGCAATGTTTCTCAAATGGTTGTTGGACCAGTAGCATCCAGATCACCAGGGATATTGTTCAAAATGCAAATTATCTCCCCTCTCAGACCTTTTGAAGTGGACACAGCATATGTCTCTTCACAGGCTCTCCTGGTGATTCTGATGGAATCGAAAAAGAATTTGCCTAAAACTGATCATTTTATTGATGGTAAAACAGAAGACTCATAAGGGACAAAAAAATGAAAGCTGAGAATAGAAACCTATAATAATGCAGAATTACAGATAGTATATTAACTACATAGAAATGAGCCCTGAAAGCCGAAGTGCATGTAAATGAGTGAAACTAATAGGACCAAATATCTCAGAGATGATCCAGAACAAGATTACCTGAAAGGGGGATCCAGAGAAGTTGTATAATTTATCTAGCTGACTCCGCTGGTTGTTGGCAGAGCAATGTGAAAGCACTGACTGAAAGTTTTATTTTTGAATTAAGTATTTTCCTTCATTAGGCTGATTTACTGTCTTTCAATTTAAGTGTGTTTAATCGGAACCAACTTGATGGCTCTTAACAGCAACAACAACAACTGGTTAAAATGTAGTCCTGATATGGTGCTATAGGATAAGCACCAGGCTACTAACCCCAAGGTTGGTAGTTCAAACCCACCAGCCACTCCTTGGAAACCTATATAGGATCACTATGAGTTGGAACAGAGTCTATGGCACTTAACAATAACACAACAATGGTTGAAATAAAGCATTTAAAAAAACATTCAGCTTTCTGTTTTCCTGGCTTAGCATTTTTTTGCTTAATTATTAGTCAATCCACAAATTTAAATGTCGAGTGGCAAAAACAAAACATCTTTTTGTTGGGCACCGTCATATTATATAAACTCGGGCATGGACAGTTTTGTTCACTCATGTCGTCAAGTCAGTATCAACTCTTAGCAACCCTGAATAGGTTTTCCAAGGTTATAAATCTTTGCAGGAGCAAAAAGCCTCATCTTTCTCTTGTTGAGTGACTGGTGAACTTGAACCACTGACCATGTGGGTCACAAGTCCTGTGTTTATTCTACAGAGCCACTGCATTCCCCTTTGAGTCATGCAAGATTGTTGTTATTATTAAGTGTCGTTGAGTCAGTGCGACTTATAGCAACTAGGGTTTTCAAGGAGTAGCTGGTAGATTTGAATTACTGACCTTGTCATTCAAATGCATCTTGTGGTTCAGTGCTTATCCTACTGTACCACATCAGAACTCCAGGTAAGGTAGCCCAATTTATTGTTCTAGGAAAAGCCTAGATAACCTCCTGTTCTCTTCCTATCTTTACACCAAGAGCAGAAACAGAATTTGAACAAAATATCTAGACTTAATAAAGACTATATATATATATATATATATATATATATATATATATATATATATACACACATATATATATATATATATATATATATATATGTGTGTGTATATATATATATATATATATATACTGTTGTTGTTAAGTGCGGTTGAGTCAGTTTGAACCCATAGCAACCCTGTATAGGGTTTCTGAGGAGCAACTGGTGAACTTGAGCCTCTGGCCTTGCAGTTCAAACTGACTTTGCAGTCCAGCGCATTAACCCACAACGCCACCCTGGGACTATATGTGTGTGTGTGTGTGTGTGTGTATATATATATATATTCAATTTTTATTCCATCAATTCGTGGTGCTTTGTTCTTTGCCGATTCCTTCAATGCACTTTGGACTTCCTCCCTGAGTATCACTGGCTCTTGATTATATGGTACCTCTTGAAATTGTTGAACATTAACCATTTCCTTATGGTACAATGACTCTGTGTATTCCTTCCATCTTTTCTTGATGCATTCTGCATCTTTCAATAATTTGCACAGAGAATCTTTCAATAATGAAAGTCGAGGCTTGAATTTTTTTTTCAGTTCCCTCAGCTTGAGAAATGCTGACCGTGTAAGTTGCCAAGGACTTCATTCTTCTTGGATCAACTATCAACATTCACAGAAGCAGCAGTCAAGAGATCAAGAGATCAGACAACGTATTGCATTAGGCAAATCTGCTGCACAGGAACTTTTTAAAGTGTTGAAGAGCAAAGATGTCACCTTGAGGACTAAGGTGCGCCTGACCCAAGCCATGGTATTTTCAGTAATCTCATATGGATGCGAAAGCTGGACAGTGAATAAGGAAGATCGTAGAAGAATTGATGCCTTTGAATTTGTGGTGTTGGAGGAGAATACTAAAAGTGCCATGGACTGCCCAAAGAACCAATAGATCTGTTTTGGATGGCTAAACTTTGTCTCTCATACTTTGGACATATTGTCGGAGGGACCAGTCACTGGAGAAGGATATCATGTTTGTTGAGGTGGTCTTTACTTTCTGTTGTGCACACATATGCACCAGCTCTTGGCAAAGTTTTACTCAAGAGTAGTTGATGGAGAAATTAACAGAAATCTCTGATTCAGAGGAACAGACAATGCATAATTATTTGAGTATTTGAGCATCCTAAAGGAAGACATCCAATTGATTTGTAGAGTTTCAGCATCAACAAGGACTTTAGAAGTCATCTGACTTAACTGTTTAATTTTACAGATGAAGAACTTGAGGCTCACAATGGTCAAAATTCTAGTTATTTTTGGAGAATGACTATGAATTACCTACATGGAAGTCTTGACAGACTTATATTAAGTTAGATTAAAGCCATTTTCTTAAAATCTTCTTTCTCTACTGGGAGTATTTGTGAACAAATACTTTTATTTTGTTTTGGGATATTTTTACTACTCTTGATAGTATAGTGATGGTAGGAGAAAGTGATCCAGGTACTAAATTCAAATGGCAATATTCTGATTCAGTAGTTTGCTTCCCAAAATGGTGATTACATTTTAAAAAACTATATCTAAAAGTGAAATGCTTAAGGAATAGAAAGAAAATGAAAGATGATATTGCAGATATCTTGGTAGTTTGAAGGGGCGATGACATTATCAACTAACTTAAGCCAAGAAAATCTAACATTTGAAACAGAATAAAAAGCAAAGAAGTGACTTTGGAAAGATGTCGGAGAATGATGACCAGACATTTTCTATAAATGGACTCTTAAGAAACTTAGATTTTCTCATTATGTGGTTCCAGACTCTTTATTACCATGGGAACATATGTTTTACATCAATACTAAAACACTGTTGAGGAGCCATGGTGGCTTAGTGAGTTAAACTGTTAGGTCATCAATTAAAATCCACCAGCAACTCCATGGAAGAATGATGAGGTTTTGTGCTCCTGAAAAGCCTAGTTAATACCAATATTATTCTAATTTATGCACCAAGCACTAAAGCCAGTGATGATGAAATTTTAAGAATTTAGCCAACTTCTTTGGTCTGAAATTGAACAAACATTCAACCAAGATGTATTGATAATTACTGGCGATTGGAATGCAAAGATTGGAAACAAAGAAGAAATATCAGCAGTTGGAAAATATGGTCTTGATGATAGAAATGATGCTGGAGATTGCATGATAGAATTTTGCAAAACCAATGACTTATTCACTACAAACACCTTTTTTAAAAAACAAAAGAAGACTATACACATAGATGTCACCAGATGGAATACGCAGAATCAAATTAACTACATCTGTGGAAAGAGATGGTGGAAAAGCTCCATATCATCAGCCAAAACAAGGCCATGGCCAGACTGTGGAACAGCCCATCAGTTGCTCATATGCAAGTTCAGGCTGAAATTGAAGAAAATTAAAACAAGTCAGCGAGAGCCAAAATATGATCTTGAGTATATCCCACCTAAATTTAGAGATCTTTTTCACGAACAGATTGGGTGCATTAGACACGAAAGACTGAAGACCAGAAGAACATCATGCAGGGAAAAAGCAAAAGGTCATTAAGAAGATAAGAAAGAAGGAAAAGACCAACATGGATGACAGAAGAGACTCAGAAACTTGCTCTGCAGCGTAGAGGTGCTAAAGCAAATGGAAACAATTAGGAGGTAAAAGACCTGAATAGAAAATTTCAAAAAGCAGCTTGAGAAGACAAGGACAAATATTATAATGAAATGTTCAAAGACCTGAAGTTAGAAAACCAAAGGGGAAGAACACGTTCAGCATTTCTCAAGCCGAGAGAACTGAAGAAAACAATTCATGCCTCAATATGCAATATTGAACAAAATATTGAATGGTGCAGAAAGCATCAGAAACGGAAGGAATACACAGAGTTACTGTAGCAAAAAGAAATGTTTGATGTCCAGCCATTTCAAGAGGTAGCATATAATCAAGAATCAATGATACCGAAGGAAGAAGTCCAAGAAGCCTTGAAGGCATTGATAAAGATCAAGGCATCGAGAACTGACGGGAAACAAGTTGAAAACTTTCAACAAACTGATGCAGCACTGGAGACAAGTACCTGGCCAACTGACTGAAAGAGATCTGTATTTGTGCCCATTCTAAAGAGAGGTGACTCAATGGAATGTGGAAATCATTGGACAATGTCATTAATATTGTATGCAAGTAAAATTTTGCAAAAGATAGTGAAAAAAATAGCTGCAATCATACAATGACAGAGAACTTTCAGAGGTTCAAGCCAGATTCAGAAGAGGAAGTGGAACAAGGGACATCATTGCTGATGTCTGACAGATCTTGGCTGAAAGCATAGAATACCAAAGAGATGTTTACTGCACTTTATTGACTATACAAAAGCTTTTGATTGTGTGGATTATAGCAAGCTATGGACTACATTGTGGAGAATAAGTATTCTGGAAAATTTATTTGTGCTCATGAGTTACCTGTATATAGACCAAGAAGCAGTTGTTTGAACAGTCAGGGTACACTGAATGGTTTAAAATCAGGAAAGGTGTGTGCCAGGGTTCTATTCTTTCACCATACTTATTCAATCTGTATGCTGAGCACATAATCTGATAAAGTGGATTCTATGAAGAAAACCATGGCATCAGGATTGG